CGGAACTGCTTGACGAGCACGACGCAGTCGTAGTGCAGCATCCGCCGGTACCAGGCGATGACCATGACGTTGTCGATGCGCGAGCCCGGCGTCCTGTTGAGCCGCGAGCAGCCCTCCCACACGCGGCTCGCGCCGTCGGGGTCCACGTAGGTGCGCTGCGACAACTCCAGCCAGTCGCCGCGCGCCAGCACCTTCTCGCCGATCACCCGCGACCCGTCGTCCGTCGTGTCGGAGGTGTTGTGGCTGAGCTTCCTCGGCATGGCCAGCGGCACCGACATCTCGTCCAGGATCTCCTCGCGCTCCTCGGCGCGGAGCCGCATGCTCATGGCGTCCACGTTCATGGGCACGGTCTGCAACGAGAGGAACAGAGACATTTGTATCAAAACGGCGACGATTTTAAAAGAGAATTGCCGTTATGTGTAGAACCCCGCCCTTCTTTGCAACTAACGTCGTTCTTGATTCAACCGAAGCGAGTTGAAAGAGGGCAGCTAGGCTAGGCGCAGTCAGATAAAAGCAGAGGTTGGCATAGGTTCTGCGCTGTTTACATGTGCCATCCCAATCGATAAGCATTATGCCGTCCCACCGTCCCCCTCCACCTTCTTTTCCCTCAGTCCATTCGATCTCGCCTCTAAAAATTACGTTTGGTAACCTTCGAGGAAGTATCGGCCCTTCCGCTAACATGGGTTACGAGTTTCGCGCAGCGTCTAAAGAAGCTTCTAGCTTAATAGCTATCATCCACCCTGAGGTTTAACCCCCGGCCTTCAAGGCGACACTCGTTTTAACTGATAAGAGGGTGGCAGTTGCCAAAGGCAAAAACTATCTGCCCTCGTTTTTTTCCTTAAAGTATTTCTGTTACCGATGGGTCGTCCAACTCGATTCGCTAGGCCTTGGCTATGAAGTCAAGGTTGGCGATACGTTTACTGCACCGTAAACAATGTTATCGGTCAGGGAGCTTGCGGTACGCACGAAGGACTTCTGCACACTCTCCCCCTTTTTAAATTATTTAAAAAAACTTCCCCTTCTTTTTGCAATTATTTTGGCAGTGTTCACGCTATGGAATGAGGAAGACATTCTAGAGAAAAAAAGTTATTGTTTAGTCGGTAGCGATATCGTCTGACCGGAAATCGATATTGTATAGAGTCAGGGTATAAGAACAGAAGACGAGTTCATTGCCACTCCCCGACTGTCAATAGCCTGTCAATGAACCAATCGTGAAGGCCACCTTGTTACGGCCAGAGTGTCCGGAAAGAAGTAGCAACTGCAGTTTTCACTTCGTCACATGCATACATCCGAGCACACACCCTGGCTGACCACGAAACCAGGTCAAGTTATTTCCATTTCGTGAATAATAGAATGACTTCCGGGTCTTTACCCCGAGGCTGCAATCAAAAATAGAAATTGATCAATTAACTTGGCTTCATGTAATATTTCTACATTTCCATCTTCCTAACGCATTTATTTTTATTCAGTTAGTGTCTGTCTTTCTGCCTATCCATTTGTCTATCTGTCTCCATCCGCTTGCTGCGCACACACGCATATATGTCTCACCTTTTTTCTTTCCGTCAGCTCTGTTTGTCACTCATTGTATGTTATCACTCGTGACGGCAATCCCTCCTTGCCCGAGACCATCAGGTTGTAGAGGGAAAACAAAGATGATTATCAGTTGACCCATTGGAACCTGAGACGAAACAGAAGCGACTGAAAAATACCCACCACTTTATTTACCCTTCCTCAAACTATTGCCAGCTTCTGTACAATAACTTCTAAAATGTACATAATTTTGAGTCTAAATGTCTGACTTTATTTTAATCGAATCATTGACCTCTTTCACGGATGACAAAAATAAATCAAGTATCGCCCTATCCGTCATACTTTTTTTTCGTCCCACTTCTGTCCGTCTCTTTGCATTGTCGCCATGGTAACCGTCATCTCTTCCGTTTCGAGTGTCGCTTGCAAATCTGTTATCGTATGTTTTCGAACCTAAAAAGCTGTGGCTCCGCGGATGGGCCGCCCACCCGATTACGGATTGGGAATAAGACGCTTTCGGAAGGATCGAACATGCGATTGAAGTTCCCGGCTTGTTTTCGAGCATCAATAAGTTACTCCCTGCCTCTCCTTATTTTCCTCTAGAGTCTTGGACGTAACGGGGGCCGCTCTTTCCCAATGTTGTGTCATTGATTATGGACAGTTTCCTCCCGCCGGGACCCCCTGCTCTCGCCGAGGGGCGCCGTGGGGCGGGGTGGGCGGGGTGGGCGGGGACGTGAGCGCAAGGTCACGATCGCTTTACTTCAATCATTGTATTACGCGCTCAATTTTACGCAAGCATACACAACACAGCTCGACGCAAGAGGGAGGGGAGGGAAAGAGAGGAGGTGGCAATGAGTTGGTATAAGGGTGCACTGTTAAAAGTAATGTTCAGAATTTAACACCATAATTGTTGTAAAATTTTTCACTGACTCGTGTTTTTGTATACCAGTTGTAACTGATAAAGAAACTGTGGAACTGGCGTGCACGTTCAAGTGCTCAACACTACGTAGCACGCTTTTAAGCGTTTGAATGGATATTTGGAAAATGTTTGAGAGTAAAGTTGAACACTTAAAAGTGTTGAACTGCAGTGTTGGTCATACTGGAATTGCAAGTGTGTGAATGTCGCTCACCTGTAGGTGTGTGAATATCTATTCGTACACTTAAAAGGGTAAAGGTGTGGATTTTTCCTAGAAAATTCGCACGTTTACCCCCTTAAGTGTACGAATGGATCACACATCTACAAGTGAGCGACATTCACACACTTGCAGTTCTAGTGCATGAATCTTAAAACACTCTGAAGTGTTTAAATTTACTGCCTAAACACTTGAAAAGAATTAAAATTTCCAGTCTAATACCTATACGTGTGCACCATGGCGTTGAACACCGTACAAGTCGCACACTTTTTTTGTTATCATGGTTTTCTTTGAATGCGCTCCAATGACTTCAGGACGTCGGAAAGAAAATAAAAATTGACCCATAACAAGGCTTTTGTTGTCTGCTAACAAATAGAGGTGGCAGTTGGCACGACCGGTGTTTCGCCCCTTTCATCGTTTAAGCGCTCGGGACACTTCGCTTTATTTACCATCTTTCTCGTATAACTGAGCTTGCAACAAAATCATTTTTGGCAGAAGAGCATGCAAAGTTAGTTATTTTTTTAAAAGTACCTTAGTGCATTATTATTTAAAACATTCTAATGTCTTTGACGGCAACTAGCCAATTTCATGCTTCGGATTGAATACTGTAGAAACTCGACACATGTTGTTTTCGAACAACAATGTTGTTTGAGGACAGCTAGCAATGTTGTTTGTGGACAGCAATGCTGTTTTTGAACAACAGCGATGTTTTCGAACAACAACGTTGTTATTAAACACTTCAGTGGAGACGCTCAAAAGTTTGTTTTCCAAACAGGCTTTGACTTTGACGGTGTGCAGGTGGAAGCGGCAGGTGGTGCTGCTCGCGGGCTGCGACGCCGCCTGCCATGTGCGGGGTAGGCCTCCCGCCGCGCACTCGTGTGTAACGGGCCTGCCCGGCGGCGGCGGTGGGCGCTCCTGCTCCTCAGGTGCGCCAGCGTGGGCGAGAGGCGCCGCAGCACAGCCGCGGTCACGCCAAAGTGTCTGTTGATTGCGTTGCGAGAAGGCTTGCGCGGAGCAACTGGGGGTCGTCCACCTCCCTTGGCTCCTCGCACCTCCGAGCCTCCCTGACCCTACCGCTCCTGAGCTCACTAGGAGTGCTGCTGAGCTAACAAAGTCTGGATGTAAACCCCGACGGGGGTAGGACCTGCTTTAACTTATTGGAACTCATTAGGACGAAATAACTCCGTTTGATCGAGTCGTTGAAAGTCCATTCATAACTTCAGCAAAATTCCAGGTGACATACCGGCCACAATCTCATAAGCGTTTAAAATGTACCCCTACCACTGAATCTCGAAGATATAAACCTCAAGTAGGAAGCAGGGTATTTAAACACCTAAACTGCCTGAATTTCCCAATCGGCTGATGTCACTTCTTTCACTGTGGAACCCCCGACTCACATTAGGGCCCTGCGCGCTCCGGTCTCTTCAGAAACAAGACCGCATTGGCCTCGTTGTCAACGAAATCACGACGACCCGTGTGGACCCCCTGATGTCGCAATCAAGGGGTCATTGAGAACATCTGCCCACTCTCTCTCTCTCTCTGGGCGGGCACACCGACGGCAAATACTCACGATATTGCTTCCTGTCGGAATTTTCGAAGAGCTCGTTTGTCGGTCGGGGGAAGCCTTTCGTCTCCTCCTCCGGCTGCTGCTGGCGCGGCTGGTCCTGGTGCTGCTGCTGGTCCCGCCGGTCCTTCTGCTGCGCGGCGTGATCGTCAGTCCGGCCCTGATAGCGCTCGACTGTCTGGGCGGGGCCTCCCCTCCGGACCCAGGCCGGCTTTCCGCCCCGCCCCACCAC